TTCTTTAAAATAGCTTAAACAGGGCCGGCGATATAGTTCAACAGCACAGCGCCTGCCTGGCAAGCGCAAGGTTCTGAGTTTGATTTCTGGTTAAAAAAAAAAAAAAAGCTTAGTACTAATATACTTCAAGGTAACAGCTGTCTACAATCTCCTTCTATCCCTGAACGTGTCAGTAGTGGTTCTTATGGGCAGATATATATGCATATATACAAATATCATCTAGTATTTTTACTTTTAATGGAATGGGACTGACTAAGCAAAGTACAGTTTATTTTTCTGCTCAGTATAACAGCATTCCAGGAGTCCCCTAAATACAAATCAAGTTTTCTCTCTTAAGAGAGGACATGATCATTCCTGTTACTCTGCCATCCCACTATTAGAGTGCGTCAGGTCTTGTCCAACTTCTGTGGCTGCCAACCACTGGGAAACATCCTTGCATAGCTTACCCTGGAGGCTTCTGTTTTTGCAGTCTGTAGACTAGATTCCTTAGAGTGGGATGCTTGGATTGGTTTTGGATAGATGCTGACAGATTTCCCCTCACGCAGTGGTAGATGTTGTATGTCTGCACCAGTGAACCACGGTGGCCCTACGTCACCTGCTTCTGCAGCCGCAGTGTTAGCCCCTCACCACTCTGTGCAAAGGGCTACGTCCCGTCACACCTTCAGGTTGTATTCATGAGGTTGAGCACATTCGCAGGTGTTCACCGGCGTTTCTATTTTCCACCGACTCTCTTTTTCCACTTAGCTCCTTGCTGTTGGATTGTCTTTTTGTAGGGACGCACTGTAAAGCAGATACTAACTTTTATGTATGTTGTGTATAGTTTTGACCTGGTTTGTAATTTTTTATTTTTTTTAAACGTACTATTGTTTATGACATACAGAAGTTTTTGAGTTTTGTTTAGTCAAATTTGTCTTTTGTGACTTGGGTTTTCTATCTCACAAATATTTCACCACTGCTAAATATTTTATAGATGTATTAAAATAATATTATCCTTTGTGGGGTTTTGTTTTGTTTTGTTTTTGTACCAAGGATCCAACTCAGGACCTTGCACTTGCCAGACAGGCGCTGAAGTCCCTGAGCTATCTCCTGGCCCAACCCTTCTATTCTTATTTTACTTAAATTTTAATCCCCTGGAATTTTTTTTTTTTTTGTCTTTTGTGTATTCTAATTGACAGTAGGATTTATATATATGTTGTGGACATTGTTTTAAAATACTTATTAAGTCATTCCGTAATGTATTAACATGTGCACTGTGTCATTAACTTATTCATTGTCACACATACTCATTTCTGTGGTACGCTTAAAAATCTCTCCTGCAGAACCTTAAGAATACAAGGCATTGTTAAAACTATGATCACCAAAACCAAAAATCTGTCACCTTTTATCACCTGGGATTTATTATAATCAGTGATAGAGGGCCGGGGAGATAACTCAACAGAGTAAACACTTGCCTGGCAAGCACAGGGTCCTGAGTTCAGTCCCCGGTACTGCAAAAACAAAAAAATTATAATCAGTGATAGATGACAGAACTTAGCTTGATTCTTTTCTGCGTGGAGAACAAGTTTGTCAGCACCATTTATTATATCATTAACGTCCCTTACTAAGCTGAAATGTCAACGTTATCTTATTTTCCACT